TGTATTGTGCTTTGCCCTTGAATGAAAATGGTTCTAAATATTAACATTCAAGCAGCTGATAAAATTTGACTTCAGCTTCAGGCTTGAAACTTATGTCCTGCTCCTAGCATGATGAAATTAATCTCTGGGCTTACTCCATTTCTGGTCTGCTAAAAATCAAAGTACTGTTGAGGTATGCATTTAGGGTTAATCTATGCAAAACAAAAAAAAAGGGTTTCTCCAAATCTGTAATTGCGAGTGATGTTGGCTGTTGTTCTTTACTTTCTTCATTGTTCTTTTAGGCAGAATATTTGAAATCAAAGTAAAATATGTGCAACTTGACATATTTGTTGAAGAATATGTTTTATAAATGGAGCATAACTTTGTGGAGAACAAACCAGCCTATTTGTGCTATTACCCTGTAAGACTATCACCTAAACCATATTGCTACAACTTTGTCTTCAGGCTATAGAACTTCTGGTGGTAACACAGCCTCAGACCAAGTACATTCAAAATCAAATCTCTGCGAGAGTATTTTTTAAGTTTAAGTAGGTGACTGCCTGGTTCCCCTATGAGTTTTGCCATACTGCATGATATCAATTTGCTTAATTAGTAGCACAACACAAAACACTGAAAAGAAAAATCTCTGCTTTTATGGATTTTTAGGCAGGGGCAAATGTGCAACTCTGCAGGAAAAGTGTCAGAAAAAATGAAACCAAATGTTTCTGAAGTCCCTAAGAAAATTAGCTCCTTTAGTAATATGATCTAATCAAAGACTTTGTGAAACAGTCTTAAGCAATAATGGTAACAGGTTACGTAAGTTGCAGCAGCTTCATAAATACACAATATGCACAATTCTTCAAACCCACTTTCTGTTTCTTAAGCAGTGTGTCTCCTGAAGAAGCAGTGAAATGGGGAGAGTCTTTTGACAAACTGCTTTCTGAGAAAGGTTTGTAGCTTTTCCCTCTCTGTGCAGACTGTTGGGATAGAACAATGATAGAAAATAAAATCCAGTGTGCACTTAAGTAGACCTGGCAACTACCTTAAACTAGATAGGATGGGTTATCTGTAGCAGCTTGTGTTTTTGCTCTCCTGTGCTTAGGCTATAGCATGCTGTCAAGTATTGAAAATAGTTGAAAATAGCTTTTAAGTTTTGTATTTTATTGAGCAAAGTAATGTAACAGACAGCAAGGAGTTCCTTCAATAAACAGTAGAATTTTATTTGAGCATTGTTCAAATATTCCTGACCATAAGATCAAACCTTAAAAATGAAAACATGTTCTGTGTATTTAAGAACAGACTTTGTCACTTCTGGTGCAGTTTGTTTCTAAAACAGTGATAGGATCAAAGCTGACCGTCACTTGAAAGGGCTTGTTGCTTATGTAATTATCAAATGCATGTATGCCCCTCCTTCAATTTTGGAGGGACACATGTATAATCTAGCTACAATGCTGGACACGATGTGCTTTTCAGATCTGCCCCTTGAACAGCTGACATCAGTACGATTGCATTACTTCTGCAGATTAAGCGTACTTGAAATGAAAATATCTTCAGCATGATAAAAATAAGATAAAACTTATTATCAAGCTGTCAAGATGTTAAAAGCCATTCATTTTAAATTGTTACTGGAGACAGCCTACATACAAACAAAGATTCAAATAGTGTTTCAGTCAACCTAAGTTGACATTCAGCCAGAATAAAATCTGTCACTTCCACAAACATCCACACGTTTTGATTATTTCTGTTTCTAAATTAGTAAGATCTTGGTAGTGGAGTTTTACAGATGCTGAGAATTCTCTAATGGGAGTTGCAGTAGTCAGGATCATAATGAAAGAACTGCACTTATTTGAAAACCTTTATGTATTTTAAAGTAGTTATCTATAATGTGATATAATTCAAAGGGAGCAGAACCTATTTTGTTGCCTTGCACAGACTGTGTGAAAAGAGTAGCTGTTTGATAAGGATATATGTTTTTTTTTAACGCCATTCAACATTCCTTTCTGTAGCTGGATTGGATGCCTTTACGAAGTTTCTGAAAACTGAGTTCAGTGAGGAAAACATTGAGTTCTGGATAGCTTGTGAGGATTACAAGAAGAGCAAGACTGCACATGAACTTTTGCCAAAAGCTAAGACCATTTATGAAACATTCATACAGAAAGATGCTCCAAAAGAGGTACAGTAAAAACATTCTTCATTGTATACAGTATTTGACACAACTGCATCTGATGAAATCTGCTTTTAAGAAGTGCATGCCTAGATGTGGAGGCAACAGTTAATCATGTAGTCACTGACATAAGTCTGTACCTTAAATGTCAAAGTTTGGAAGGAAATGTGCAAGCAATGGCATAGATTATTCTCATTGTCCCCCATATTCCTTTCAATACCCCCTCCATGTTACTCTTTTAAGTGTAGAGCAAGAGTTTAAATGTTATATTATAGGACTCGGAGATTCCTAGTGGTCTGTAAAGAAAAAAATAGGGATGTTAAATATTAAAGCTGCAATGAGATATAATAGCTAGAACTTGTGGAAGTCTTATCTGTCTTTATTTAAAGCTACCTCCAGAACAACAGAACTATTGTCCCTTTCTTTTAAACCAGTAATCCTCTGTTGAATTATTACATAACTGAGGTTCAGAAGCTTTTACTTTAAATGAGGCAAAGGACTAAAAGAGACTAGAATAAGCTATTAAAATTAAACATATCCTTTAAAACATAACTCTTTTAAGCATGGGCTTTTCTTGATTGATCCTTCCCCTGATTGATCCTTCCACCCTTCTACTCCCCAGATCTAATTGTGTGTTCTTGGTACATTACTGTCAGCTGGGAGTGGGGGAGGAAGAAGGGGGTGAGTGGCTGCATGGTTCTGGGTTACCAGCTGGGCTTAAACCACGACACACATACATAAAAATATGTTGGTACATCAATCCTCATCAACAGTAAGGCCTTTTTATGTTACTGTAATAGTGCAAGAAGTTTTCATATTTAAAATTTCTTTATATTACTGAAACATGTTATAAAGAATTCAGAAAAGGAATATTTTTTTGCCTGCTCTACGAAAGTGATGAACAGACTGGGAGATGATGAAGTCTCACTGAAATCACCATCAGCCTCTCCAATAGGTCTTTCGGACTAATAATTTCCTGTAATTCTGTTGAGTTTGAGATCAGATTATGTTACTGGCCAATGCTCCTTTTTTTTCCTGTATTATTTCTTTCTTATTTGTCAGTATAGCAAAATTTACACACTAACTGCTGCTTCCCTGTAACAAGGGTGTAAAAGGTGTAATTCTTATTTTAAGAGAAAGATTGCAAAATGGTGCATAGACTATATTTCAGATTCAGGTCTGCTTTTCCTAGGAAATGCCCACTTTCAAAGGCTTATGTCCCATTTTATTTCCTTCCCTGCTGCCTGTCTTTGAGGTGGACCTTATGTAAAAAGAGACCCCATAGCTGTTCAAGGTAGAGCCTGTCACTGCCATTTGACCAATCTCTGAGCAGTTATGGTAGGGTATCAAGTACTGGTACTGTCAGCACTTCCAAGGTTGACATAGTGAAGAGGTGAGCAGTAGGAAAGCTAGGGAGAGGGCAGGGTGTGGAAGTCATACTTTAACTAACAGTAACATAGCAATTTCTTTAACTGTCATACTTTTGATTTGGTGCATGTGTGGGTAGTGTGAGTACTGCTGTTCCCCTTGAGCAGTTGGCTATGGGGAGACTTCCTTCCTTGGGTTTAGCTGAGCAGCTGAGACCAGCCAACAGCATCTCATTTAACAACACACTGCTCTGGAACTTGCATCTTTTCTCTGGCTAACATCGGAGCAGAGCTCTTTTACACACACATTTCAGAGTGTACAGTTTTATGATAGGATCATAAAATCATAGGTTTGATGAGTGGACTATTTTATCGTCATTAACTGTCCTTCAGTTCTTGGATTTATTTTTTAACTAGCTTTATGGAAATGACAGATGTATCTTAGAGAGGAAAAAAAGGCATACTAGAGAAGTTACTTTCTGACTGAATCAACAATTTTTAACATACATTCTAACTTATTTTTCAAAATATCTTGTTTAGGTAAGTGCCTGAGACTTTAATAAAATTCTCATACTAATTAATTCTTTCCAGTAATTCTTTCCGGAATTACTAATTAATTCTTTCCAGGATGAAGGCAATGACACATTGAATAAATGATCATTTTGATACCCCATCAAATGAAGTTCTGTATTAGTCCGGTGTTGCAAAGCTTGACAGCTGCAACTATACAAAGATTGCTATTAGAAAATTACTTTTAGTCAAACATCAAACTTTACCTTCTATTTTGTCAGTTTTCCATTGTACCAATGGCACATCTGTGCAGACTTTCCGGCAGATGTTACATGAACATACTAACTATTTCTGTGATATAAATATCCCATTGTATCAGGGATTCAAGGTCCTTTTATCAGAAAAAAACTCACCAAAATACAGTATCATTGCTGTGGATAATAACACAGGAAATGCATGAATGTATATTAAAGAAATCCACTTTTCCTCATTCTCCAGGTGAATTTGGACTTTCAAACCAAAGAAGTCACAAGTCAGAATATTGAACAGCCCATCATCACCACCTTTGATAGAGCACAAAACACTGTCTACAGGCTGATGGAGCAAGACAGCTACCCACGCTTCCTGAGATCTGATCCTTATTTAAATTTGGTTAAGGGGAGAAGTCCCAGTCGTCCTACCCTTAGGAGACGGTCACGGTCTTTCACTGTCAATGATTTTAAAGGTGTACGACCAGACTTTACTGTTTGGTAGCAGGGAAACTGAACCCTCATAAATTTTAGCTACTGCTGCAACTCATATGTATTTTACAGTCCAAATCCTTAGCAGGTGTAAATGAGTGGAAAGCGAAGTTACATGCACTTACACCAGGTCAGAGTTCTGTAGCCACTGATTAATCTTATTATAGAGAAGTAGGCAACATATTGTCAAGACATATCATGTAAAGCTTTCATACAGTATTTTTTTTAACCCAACTATTTAGAAGAAAAACTTGAGTTTCCTGCATAAAAACATATAAGATGCCACTTGATAATATCTACTGTGTATCGTTGGCCTGTATTATTTGGGACAGGGTCTCATCACAGTTAGAATCTATATACCTAGCCTTTGCACATATTTATGATCTATGTTTCTGCAATATTTTCTACACTAAGCACAGAGTATTTGTGGTATTTTCTCATACTGCAAAACACATACGAACTTTATTAGGTATAATGTAGAGTTACAGGGATTTTTTTCTACAGCAGCTGCGTAATTAAAATTTAGCTATTGCATATTTTAAGAGGAACATAATATCTTTAATTTTTGTGGTACAATTTGTACTGTTTTCTTATTACATGTGTCTCTTTGTATTTAAGTTATGCTGTATTTATTAGTTTAGCCATCAAATAATTGTATTCTAGGTTTTTGCAACCAAACGAGTAGCAACAGAGACCCAAGAATGCTATTTTAACACAATGTGTGTCATTAAATATCAGGTCACATGGATGTGTATATGTATATATAATAGTCCTACTTTTATTTGCAAACATTTATGGTATACCAACTTTGTTACTAAGCTTTGTTCTAAACTTTTTTCTGACTTTTATTTTGAAAAATAATCTGAAAATTAACAGCTCTTGGACTCAGGCAGAATAACCTTCAGTTCTACTGGTCATTACTTTACTCTCCATGGTTATAGAGGAGGAAGGAGAAATCTCCCTTTAACTTCAGTAGTAAACTGAAGTCAGATATGTCATTTTCACAGTCAGTATACAGTGTCTTCTTTCAGAATTGATGCAGACATATCTTGAAGCATGGGAAAGCTTTTAAAATCTTAGACATTGGTTCAGTTAACAAGTGGCTGCAGGATTTAGTTGTAACTATGACTTGTATATTCAGTCGCTTTTCATGGAGTTTTAAGATATTTCCCTTCTCTTCCCTCTTTGTAAGTTGTCGAAGTGAAGAGGTGCAGTTCCTGAGGATGAAAAGTTGTGTTCATTACTAATTCAGGGTATATATGAACTGCTTGATCTGAGGCTTCCCCTGTCTGCTTTACTAACTTTCAATAAATCCTAAGTGATCTACTTAAAAAGTTGTCAGGATTCAGTTTGTCACTAGTGCATTGATGAGTAAAACATGAAGACTTCACTTACAGTTCAATACCAGTTGTAATTGTTGCCATTTCAATCCGGTGTTACTGTGCAGAGACCCGGACTCACCAGGAAACACTGCTGAGCTGCAGTGTCCTGACAACCATCTCCAAGCTCTCAGCTTTACCCTGGGAAGAGACAGGAAACACTTTTGCAGCTGTGAGGAGTATGATCCTTGCTGGTTTATTCCATTATCCTTCCCTGATCCCAAAACTCCAGACACATGCTATTTCTAACTGTGTAAGCAGTCAGAACCTCTGCACAGTGATTCAGGAATAAATAAAATGTTTTTAGTAATGTTGATAATGTGTTTCAGTCTCTATCAATATCAAATGCAGCTTTGGAGCTTCTCGGCACCATTTTTTACAAACTGCACTCCTGTTGTCATTGTCACACATGTCACATGAATGAGTGAATACAGTGAAAAGCAACTTCCTAACACAATTTCATGGCTTGAAGTCAGTATGTTCTTCTGGATAGATTATTTATCCCTGCTCTTTGACTGTCCCTGTGTCATGAATCAGTTCTGCACAAATGATCCTGTTTCAGATTAGGGCATCTCTAATCATAGAATCAACTAGACTAATATGTCTGAATGCCAGGTTTTGCAGGTATTTAAAATATGCAAGTTCCTATGTTCTATATTACTAACTTTGTTAGAGAAAGAGAACAGGTTTGAGGACATCTGCAGCTAGATTCTCCCCTGGTGTGATTATGTTTCTTCATACCAGCTGAGAATCTGCACCTTTAATCTTGCCATTGATCAAATAATTAAAAAAAAAAATACGTAATACTATTCTAAAACCCAAACAAATGACAAATATAGTACCTTGAGTAACACTTTTACTTCTTAGCAAAAAACCAGCTGTTATTCAAAAGGGTCTGTAATGATAAATTTATGTCAGCAGGCACCCTTTGTTTCATTTCACTGACACATGGAAAGTTTTCTTTATCTCCAGGGAGGCCTTCCTCAAAACCATCAGTCTTGTGGTACTGACAGTGCTGGTCCCTCTTAGGAGTTTTATGATGAAAACAAACAAGATATTTCTGGTAGCTGTTTATGCATGTATGGTTTTCAAAGATAATTATGAACTGTAGCTGAATTTACAGCATACGAATGTCATGGGAACTGCTGTAAAAAGAAAGTCAAGATAAATTCAGAGAAAGGAAAGCAGAGGGCACAAAGATAAACTAAAATGACATATTTAGCTGGCAAAGGGTTTTTTCTAAAAGAGGGTCCTTTTAGTGGGAGAAAATGAGTGCTCTACCACTTAGTTCTCTACTGTAGTTCTAGAAGATGAACTAAGCATAGATTTAGTACAAGTCTGTGATGCTGTCCCAAGGTTGAATTAGATGGGATTGATCAGACTAAGGGCTACCCCTGCACAGGTGGGTTTATGGTATGAACCTTAGAGTAGTGCCAGAGAGCATGGTCGGGCTTCTCTAGCTTTGGCAGAATCAATGCCATAATTATGTAAACCTTCTTGTTTAGCTGACCTAGTACAAATAACACATACACAAAACCAATCATCAAGAATTTTTACTGGGGATTATTTTCTGTAGCAGCTTTTTAGATTTGTATGTGCCATTCAGCATCCAGTAAGAGCGCTCAAAATACTCAGCTCTCAAAATATTCCTCTTACCAACATAACTCACTGTACATGCACACTTCACTTTACTCCTTATGAACATGAAGTCATCATACCCAAAGTACAAGGGAAATAATCTGCTGACCTGTGTAGCACAAAGGTTTGTCTCCTGCTTCAATACTTAAATCTTATTAGATGCTTTAAACCAGCTGAATTATTATCTGCTCTTCCTGTTTAACCGCAGGGAGATGGAAATTCACAGACACATTATCTTCTTTGGCTTTTGGAATTTAATATTGTGCAAAAGAAAGCTGTATTAATTTTTGATTTGACAAGAAACAAGAGGAATGCAATCTAAGATCAAGAATCTAAAAGAAACAGATTTCCATCTTCTGTTGAAGTTGGCAGTCAGTAATATGGCTCTTAGATGCCTTTACATGCTACGGCTTACAAGAGACTCACAAAAGTCAGATCATTTTTCTCCCCTTTTTTTCCCCAGCTGCTCAGCCTGCCTTAATTAGGTACTGCTTTGAATGCAGTTCCCTCTCTTTACCACCCATACTGCCAAAAAACCTCAACTGAGAAAAAAAAAAAAAAAAAGCATAAAATCATCATCCTCTCCTCAGTGATTCATATGCTCATGAACGTACGCCTGGCTTAGGTGCTTGTCCTGGATCCCGCTCTGTAATTTGCATTTTAGTCAAATGCCTCAATCAAATGCCTGTGTGGCTCTATGCCAAAGATAAACATGTATTTCCTCTATACAGCATCCAGGTTGCTTCCATTCCTACTTTTGTCTTGCTAGTGTCTTGTTGTCATCTTCCACTTTTTGTATTCAATTCATTTAGGGCTGGACTCGAAAGCTCCCTCTGGTTTTATACTAAAGCTTTTCTCTCTCCTTTCCTAAATAGCATCTGTTTGCCTAACTTCCTCATAAATCTTACAACAGGTTATCTAGACACCAAGATTTACAGTCTAGCCTCTATCATTGCCTTCTCTGTGAAACGTAACTAAAATTAACTAGCATGAAATAAAATTCCATGGAAGTCAATTTAGAGTTTTCAAACAGGACAGAAGATTAAGCTGAAGCCTAACGTAAGGACAACCCTGAGCTGTTGTTCCTTCACCAGGCAATTTGCTTGTATTTTAGAGGCTCCCATTTCTTCCCAGCTTTCCAGACTTGTTTTAGATTTCTGCAGTTAATGCTACTCCATATGAGCTTTCTGAGGCATAGTGTCTACCTTTCCCATATTCTTGCATTGGTGCAATTTATACTTGTCTCATCATAAGGTTTTAATATGATCCTATATGTTTGTGCTATATTGGCTTCTTGTATGAAGTTTTGTGAAGTGTGATGCTGTGTAAAAGACAGTGTATTCATCCATAAACTATGCCAAATAATCTGCTAGTTATTACTAAATGAGAATCTTCAAGGTTGTACATTTTCTTGAGAAATGTTTCCATTTCTTCTCTGATGCAGATTTGTGTTTGTATAGTGTTTGCATAGTACTTGGAAATCCCATATATGAGGGGCCCAGAATGCTGTAAAACATTTTGACAGATAGTTCTTGAAATCAAAACATTTTACCTGAAGGGCATACTTTGCTTGGGTGGAAAATAACAGCTCGTTTTCTTACGCAAAACAACTCTGTGGCATACTGCAGACACACCAAGTTATTCATATGGAAGAAAAAATAGTGCTGTGATTAAAATGTATTTGCATCCCGTATGACAGGCGTTTCTATGTTACTTAGGATGCCAGCAGTGCTCAAATCATCTTGGCTTCTCCCATCATAAGAAATGCAGCCAAGTCTCTGTGTGCTTGAATTGCCTGGACCAGCAGAACGTTAACTTTATTCTTCTGCTGAGCTTACGCTATACAAAACAACATTATCCAAGCAAACCTGGGTGTGGAATGGATTGAACAGAGGCCAACTGCTGAAGGGCAGTAACATACTGAACTTGACCCAGGGGAAACACTAGCACACCAGAACAGCTATTGGAGAGTGTGACCCTTTTTCTCATTTCAATCAGGTGAGTACGAGGTAACTGTTCTAGGAACATATATAAATGAAAGTGATTTCTTAGGTTAATGCACCAAGAGTTTGAACACAAAGCATTTTATATGGTCTATTGACATTAATATCTAATTCCAATGTGGATCAGAGGAACAAAAAACATCACACCATATTCCTCTAAACAGCCAATAGCTTTTTGTACAGGAAGGTAACTCAGTGAAACTAGTGCCTAAAAATAGCTAAAAGAATAAAAGATGACTATCAGTAAACAGCCAAGCAGTAAGCTTAAAAGTTGAGGAGATTTAAATATTTAACAGATCAGTAGTCTTTAACAAGTAATACTGGCAAAGGAGGAAACGTTCAATCAATAGATCCACATTCCCTTTCCTACATTTCTAACTCTCCTGTGGCCTGTCAAAGATAGGAGGCTCAAAACAGGAATCCATAGCACAGTTCTGCAAGTTTCAGAAATGTTAAGTCAGAGGCCTCATGGATAAAGTTTTTAAACTACACTGAAATCCGCTGAGCAGATAAGGGTCTAAGCTGCCTTGCAAGTCCAGTCTGAGTTATTATTTAACTGCGGATGCAAACATCAGCACTGTCAGCTGGATCCAGATTTCCAATTTGCACAAGCATCTGATGCATTTGTTTTAATACTAAGATGACTTTTGCTCCTTATGAAATTTCAGTAAAATAATAATTTCTGGAAAGAAACTGATAAGTTTAAGCATTGGAAGTATATGAAAATGCTACCAACTACTTTTTATGAGAAGAGATGCCTGACTTTGCTTACTGGACTTGTGGTATTTGTACTAAGATAATAATAACAACCCTATTACATTCTGTGTTCCTGGAATATCCTGGAATATCCTGGAATCAGTTTATGTACACTAAATAGTCCCTGAACAGCATGTTACGCAATGGTGAAAATCCCTCATAGCTTCTTTGTGGTTTTGTGAATTGTGATCAATACCCCATAATTGCATGAGCAATCAGACTGCATCATCTAGTTATTCTGTGTGCTGGTCAGAACACTCATAGGTTTCAGCACCTTTCTGTGACTGCTAGAACTGTCTTAAAAGTATCTGTCAGCACTGGAAATCTTCAAGAGATGCTTATGTCTGTGTCATTCAATACCAGGCAATTAGAAATATTTTAAAAAAAGCATCTGTTGTAGTGTTTGGAACTGTTTGGTTTTTTGGTTGTTTTTGGTTTTGTTTTCTTTTTTAAATATATAACCACCTGATTATAAATAAAGCAGGGACAGATTCTGCAGCCCTCCCTCTCATAAATAGTGTCACAGAAGTGAATGGGACTCTTTTATAACAAGAATTTTATTACCACTTCAAAAATTTAAAATAAGTCAATTTATGATCATAGTTCTAAGGTGAGTGAATAGTATAATCATTGGGACTAGACACAGGGTAAGCATCAAGAAATGAATGGAACCATCCAAGAATGTTGCTCATAACTGTGTCATCTCTGTGCTTATAACTGCATTGACTTTACTGGCATTGCACCAAGGAATCTGGAGGAAACTTGCATCAGACATTTATCTAGAATTTTGTCTCTTGGCTGAAATTCAATGCCTATTTTGAACTGCTCCTAAGTCTTTGCCACTTTTCCCTGGGAACCTAGGGCACTGAAAAGCAAAGTCCCTTTTTTGTCTTTTTTCAAATAACAAGGCATAGTAATACACGTAAATGCCTGCATGGATTTGCAGAAGAATCTCCCGATTGCTACATGAGAAAGGTAGACCAGCAATCACAAAACATGACATTAGGGGAAAAAAATTACTGTATCAGCATTAATTGAGAAAGAGACAATCTCACTCTAAGAAAATTCGAGTTGTAGGTATTTACCATCTACGAGGCCAGAAACTCTACAAATAAATATTGTTTGGATTTTATATCATGTTTTTCCTCTTTACCAAATCTCAAACCTAGGACTGAATCAGTCACAAAGGATTCAATGTGCATGCAGATGTTGAGGGTTTTCTCTCCACCTTTAAGATGTTGAAATTAATCTTAATAGCGCAATGCATGGAAAGCTTTTGGTCCTGACTGGCAGTGTTACAGCCTGCAGTACATACTCAGTGGAAATAAGAGAAAATAACTGATTATGGAAAATAAGAAACACTGGGAAGAATCAGGATGATAGTTCATATTTTTCTCCTTCTGTTATAACTTTCAGAAGGAGGTGGATGCAAAGGTAAGAAGTTGCAGAAAGGATTTGTATTTTGCTACCAGGAATCTTTTTCAGCATTACGTAGGAATGGAAGGGGTACCTTGGGTCATCATTTCTAGTTCCCTATTATCAAAGGCAACAATTTAAAATAATCTATTTCATAAATATGTGAAGCTCCACCTTTGAAGTACAGAGGAGTAGAGAGGCCAAAAATTCTACTGGGAGACTTAAAAACACTTTTTCTGAAGCCTTCTTCATTTTCAGTCTAAATTTATTCACTGGCTGTTTATATACTGTTTTTCTTTTTTCACAAAAGGTGTGGATGAGGAATAACTCCATAACATTACTAAGGTCAAAATGTGGTGTGTGATGGTGCCTGGGTTTTTATTTCTCACCTTAGAAGACAGACAAAAACTGAACACAGGATTTGAGGTGCAGCCTCACCAGTGCTGAGTACAGGGGGATCATCACCCCATACTCCTGCTGGCCACACTATTTCTAATATAAGGCAAGGTGCCCTTGGCCTTCTCAGCTACCTGGGCACAAGCTGGCTCATGTTCAGCAGCTGTCAACCAGCACCCACAGGTCCTTTTACAGGCACTCTTCCCTAAGCCTAGCGCGTTGCATAGGTTGTTGTGACTCAAATGCAGGACCCGGCACTTTTCCTTGTTCAACCTCATACAGTTGGCCTTGGTCCAGTGATCCAGCCTGTCCAGATTGTTCTGTAGGGCCTCTCACTCAAGCAGATCACACTCCCCCCCCCAGCTTGGTGTCGTCTGCAAACTTATTGAGGGTACACTTGATCCTCTCATCCAAAACATTGAGAAATATGTTAAACAGAACTGGCCCCAATACTGAGCCCTGAGGAACACCACTTGTCACTGGCTGCCAACTGGATTGAGCTCCATTCACCACCACACTCTGGACCTGGACATACAGCCAGTTTTTTACCCAGCAAAGGGTACGCACGTCCAAGCCGTGAGCAGCCAGTTTCTCCAGGAGAATGCTGTGGGAAATGGTGTCAAAGGTTTTACTTAAGTCTAGGTAGAGAACATCCACAGCAATTCCCTTATCCACTAAGCAGAGCACCTGCATTAATTTTACTAAAATAAAATAAAACCTACTAAGTCTGTTCCAAGTAGATAATGGGGTATCAGCTCATTGGAATTCTTCATTTTTTTTTTACCTGTCACTAGAGGTTACAAGAAGAACTGATTAACACTTGAAATTTCTAGCTCAAAAATCTTGGCTGGGGACATTTGTAAGAAAAAAATTCTTTAAAACAAAACACTATTAAAAAATGTAGTTACAAACCACTGAACCAAGTTTATTGAAGAAGTAGGTGTCTTATTTTAAAACACATGAAAAATATGAGCTAGACAACCAACGAGATTTATTCCTGGTGTTTTGTTTTCAGGTTTATTTTAATTGTAAGCATTACTACTACCTCCTGGATGAACATTCAAGTTGCCAATGTCAAATAATATATTGTATGAGTCCATATGGCTCTCTACACTCTAAAAAAAAAACGCGTCCCGCTTTTTGTTGACTTTCTGTTATTCAGTGCATAGGGTAACAGGAATTACTCGCTCTGCTCCCTCAAGGAGATAGCCAAATAATAGACTAGCTGCCACAGACTGCACAGGCAAAACATCCCAATGCTATTTTCAAGGATAGATGTTGTTTCCACAGGTCAAACGCTGGGGAAACCATGGCCTGGTCTGAGTCTGTGGATACAATACTAGCTAATAAAGGTAAGCAGTGAAAAATACGTTTTTTTAAAACATGCATCAACCCAGTTCACAAACGTTGCCATAAGGTTTTCACACTGCTTTCCGGTTGGACTCTCCACGTGCTTTGAACTACACTAGTACTGGAGGCTTGCAACCTGCCATGCTGAAAGGCAGAGGGGGCATGTTTCTCCAAGCTGCAAACACAATATACCTCTGGTCGGTGCTAAAGGGACATATAAGAAGGCAAGAGCCTCTGAAAGCATTTTGGTTTAAGATACCATGTTAAACTATCCATGCAATGGTTCTCTTTCTCCTTTTTTTTTAATTAAAAAACACCCCCAAACCCCACCAAATCAAACACACAAACCTTTTCTTCGGTATTCCTGTTACATCAAAATATATGTGCTGTGCATTGGCTTTCAGTCAAACAAAAAATAATTTCTAATTTATCCAAAGTCACTTCTCTAATAGATCCCATTCCTACTGACCTGAAACCTCAAGCCACATGTAACTTTAAAATTTCCTTGCCCCTGCCCCATTTTCTACAGTAACTCTGTGGCCTGGACACTGGGGTGCCTCCACGCTGTATCTTAATAGCATTAACTTGACTAACAGAACTTAATTTGGGTGCTGTCAGCTTTTTTTTTCTAAGAGGTTGCAACTTGGATTAAGTGTAAATCAATTTTGTCCTTTCTTTATTTATCTTTTTCCTCTTAAAAATATAAAAAATGCTGAATAAAGAAATAACAAAGAGTCCATGTCTTTGTCCAAGTCTCTATCATTATTTGAAAGAAGATGGAAGGGCTATTCAAGCAGGGTAACCTCAGCTCTGAGAGGAGCACAGTAGTGCAATATAACTTGGATTTCTCATTGCTTTGTAGAGCAGCAGTGAGCCTCAAATCCCTAACTTTCTAGTCACTAAAATCCTTCTTGAAAGCCAAGATCTCTAGGATTCCCTTTTAACTAGTGTATCAGTGCTAGAGACCAGACAGTAGCAGGGAGCTTTCCTCAGTTAGTAACTCTCTGAAAGAACTCTTAGTCACTTTATCATTGCTGTAGTTTCATCTCCTATTTATTTCTCCCTCAACAGCCTCTTAAGACTAATTGATGGCTGACAGGCCAAACAATATCAGACACTTAAGTTACACCGTATAAAATGCACATATATATATACACACATGTATGTACATACATATGATCTGTATTCGTCTTTCAGTTTTCCTCTACCCATCATCTCATGCATTTTTTCTCCAGATGGCTTGGCAGCTTTTAGGACATTTTTAAAGTCAGAGTTCAGTGAGGAGAATGTGGAGTTCTGGCTCGCCTGTGAGGACTTCAAGAAAACCAAGTCCTCGGCTAAGATCGCTTCAAAAGCCCGAAAGATTTATTCTGACTTTATACAAGCTGATGCTCCAAAGGAGGTAAATAGTTTTCTGTGTGTACTTTGGGTACTGAGGATGGGAATCAATTGGAAAGTTCAGATACAAACTTCTAGGAATAACAGAAAATACAATTCAATGTGGCTGTTTTGCATTTTCATGTCAATTATTTACCAGGTAGGAAACACTGCATGGGACTCTGTAAAACAAAACAAGACCTTTTATGCTATATGTATTTTTCACAGAGGGCATGGGTTTATCTCACCTTCTGAAAATTCTACCTTAAAATTTAATGAAATATATATTTGATATAATTTGTTTTCTCTAACCATTTTAATAATGCAATAAGCACCATTTCCTCCATATTTTAGGTACCAGTATATTGGAATATTAGTATATTAATGGTTGTCTTTGTTCTTTCATACAGGTATTTTGACATGATAAAAATTAAAATGGAAACTTGCAAAACATTTCCATCACAGCATTTAATGTTATCTACTTAAAAAATGCTTGTGATGAAGGAAGAAATTACTACTTGATTATTGTTCACATTCTACTCCCTAACAAATTTTTACACTCATGTTTTTGCCTCTGACAGTGATTGTGCTTTGAGTGTCTCCATGTCTTACATATGATTGAAATCCATTTTATTATGATAAAAACCCAAAAATACTTTTATAAAATACATAAGGCCAAAACCTAAACTGATGCTGAGTACCTTCATCCCTAATTTACCCATTGATAATCAGTACTTCAAAGGATTTGCATTGGCAAAAAATGAGATAAACAGAAGCAAGTTTTTCCCCTTCTTTTCTGCAGTGATGCCGCCTCTTTAAGAGTCAAATAAAATTAAGAATTCAGTATGGTAGAAAATTAAGGGATAACCTTCCTGCTTATTTGCATCAGCCAGGATATTTGAGGGGAAATTCAGATGCAGACTGTGTCTTGTAAAGGAACAAACCTCAGCTTTCCAACCAAACTGACATTGGTTTTATGCTTCCTTTTTTTCCTACAGGTTAATATCGACTTCCAAACTAAAACCCACATCTCTCAGAACATCTCTGAACCCACTCTCAGCTGCTTTGATGATGCTCAGAGGTTAGTCTATAGTCTCATGGCAAAGGACTCTTTTCCCAGGTTTCTAAGGTCAGAAGTTTACAAGGAATTGGTAAAGAAGCAACAGAATGGAAATCAGAAGAGATGGTTCCCATTTTTTTGAGAAAATGTCCAAGGGATTATGAATTTGTATATGTCTCCCATTGCAAGTCAGTACAGTTAATATTTTATTAAACTGATTGTACAAACCAGATCTAAATTGCCTTTGACAGCTTGTTTTTAAGTACAATAGGCACATGATAGTTTCTATTAACAGTGGAGAAATAGTCAAGAAACAGGATAGAATATGCCAAGACATTTGAGCTTCCTTTTTAGTGAAGAAGTTTGCCATTGAAAATTTTGCCAGTGCTTGCTTTATCTGTCAAAGTGTTTTCACATTAAGCAGAATGTTTTGGGTTTTCTGATTTGTTATTCATTTTTCTGTAGAAGTATGGCCTCAAAAATAAATTTCAGGGGACTTGGATACATTTACTCGTTCATTCATCATCTCATTTGTAATATGTAAAAATAAAAAAAATAAAAAAAATCCTCCTTTAAGCATATTTTATACCAACTAAAAACAGGAGAAGTAGAAATATGGGAGATAACACAGTATGATAATATTTAATAGGCAGATGTTTTATGACAAATGTCCCTGGCTTTCAGAGCATATTACTGTTTCATAATGCAGCTGTCTTCAATATGACTCTATCCAATTTTGTGTTTATTTAATTTGAATTTTTATTGAGAAGTCTCATTTATTAATTGTGTAGGCATTTGGAAAAAAAAAAACCAACAAACCCTGAGTAAATATTCCTTTGTACATTTTCAATTAGTAGTTCCTTTTCTTTGCTTTTCCAAGTGTATCAGTGATACTGTCCCCATGCACTCATGAAATGAGTTATTACAATTTTTCAATGAAATACAGGTAAGCAGAAAAGTAAACATCAGAGGAACAGTTTCGGGCAAGTAAGCATGTAGATCAGAATTTAGTCATGGTGTTATTTTTCAAACAAGCAAGATGCAGTAGGATTCTAGTGCAGTTATCATGTTTGCACACACTGCTCTCGTTCATTGCTGTTGGAGAGTTTATTGTGTATATTTTGATGAAGGAAGGAGCTGTTGTATAGTACTGAAATAAAAAATATTTTAAACCATATTGGGACAGGAAGAATCTTCACTATGGAATTAATTCTAAATACAAGAGATAGCAGTAAGATTTTTCTTAAAAACAAAACAGGAAAATACCCCCCAAAACCTTTAATTTGATATTAATTTGATTGTTTCTATTCTTTTGCTTTTGAGCTGCTCTGAATCTCTAGGAATCTCTCATTCTCTGTTCATGCCTTCTCTACACCATCACATATTCTATGCAAAAGATCCTCTCTGCTATCCAACTACATTAAAGAACTAATTCATGTAGGAAATAAAGGATATTAAGTAGTCTGAAAGCCCCAGTACACTGTCTTGAGTTGTATACTTAGGTTCCCTGCCACAGCTTATGTAGGTAGTTGGTTAGGTAGGGTGTAAAATGCCTCTTCTTTGACACCCACCATCTTTACTATCACCTACTTTTTCTCGCTGTCTGCTTTTCATTTTCATTTCTTTCTTCCCCAGTACTAGTGGTTAACAGAGAAACAAACACAGTCGCTGCGGTTGAGCTGAAAAGAGGATATAGGTTTGTTTCGCGGTCCCACAGCTACCATTCATTTTGCAATGATACTTCTGTGGAAAACTGCAAGTTCTGCCTGCAGTGCAGCCTCGGTCTCCTTTCTGCACCAGGGGATTTCTGCTGCTTAAAGTCACAGTGAAGGCAGCAGTCAGGATTGCTGAAATTTACTCAAAAATGCAGCAGGTAATTTTCTCTTCTTACAAATCCAGTTCTCATTTTCAGAAGAGAAACTTGCCGCATGTTGGAAGAAGTGGGATCACATCACCTTTCTTAGCAGGGCAAGTAGAGAGAAAAAAATTTACCTTGAAAAGAGATGTGTGATCATGAAACCTCACAACTCCTTTAAAACTTGCACACTTTTGACTTTACACCATCACAGACAGAGCTAGAAACTGGTAAAAAGATGGCTTCCAGGGGTCTCCAACTCCTGTCTGCTTGAAAACGCAGCATAAGGAGAAGTTAAAACTATACATAAAACAGTCAGGTTGTGTGGAATTGTGTGAATGAAGCCACGTAAGCCAGTGGAAGGGCCCATGCTCACCTTTGTGTGAGTTAGATCAGATGTGAGATAATACAATCCACTATCTGAACTAGAAATACAAAATTTCTAGAAGTTCTGAAGCCTAGAGACTAAAAATAGCTGTTTTTTTACCATAAAGACTGAATTTTGGGGAAGACTACCTGTTATATCTGGACTTTACTGCTATGTGTAAGAAAGGGAAAGCTACCATACATAATCTGGCTCCTGCAAAGAAAGTGCAGGTAGATTAAATTAATAACACCAGTATAAGATCATATTTTATTAATTAATTTTTATGTTCATTTTGAGAGAAAACACCTCCCAGAAAAGTTTCTTTTCCATTTTTTCCCAGCTTTTCGACTTCTATAATACTTGGCCATGGAAATTAGACTCAATGTATTCTTACACATTTCAGAGGAGGCCCTGAGTGCTTTGATCTTTAGTGAGAAAAATGAGACAATACTAAAGCAAATGATTCCCTGCCTTATTTTTTTATATTGCTGCTATGGTTTAGCTGTCCTAAGGAAGACATTAGCTTGCATTATTTTTTCTTCTGTATTGCATGGGTTTGGTTATTTGCATATAAAATGAGAAGAGTTGGATTTGTCTCTCAGTCCATATCTGTTTCCATTCAGGTTTGCATGTAGGTTATTTTTAATTCTATGAATATTTTGCCTACTATGCATAACAGTCCTGGAAAGGTAAACAAAGGCACATACTCAGTAAAAACTGTATGGAAACCATGTTTTTCCTAATACAGTAATTATAACTTAAAAGCTCATAGAGAAGAATGGAAAAAATCTTTAAATAAGTTGTATTTTTTGAATAATTTCAAATGTACTATGCTGTCATATAAATATCTTGTTTTAGCTGAGAGAAAAGGGCAGGAAGAGAAGACATAAGGAAGATGTAGGATTTACTGTTTTGGATAAAAAACGTATCTGTGTTGGCAGCAACATCTTCATGACTGCACAGCATGGAGAATGTAGCAAGGCAGGGTACAGAGAGATTACCTTACACTGGTCAATCATGCCTAGGTTGGAGCTTCAGTTCTTCACCAAGTTCCAGTGGCAAAGAACTCCTCATTAATAATATATTACCTTTCTCTCCTTCTGAAATGTAGAGTAATTGTGCCATGTTAACTTCAGGTTACAGATTGCCTAGTCTTTAAATGACCACCACACATAAATGATGTTATTAATGGTTCTTGTGGTCTAATTACAGATAGTTCTGTCACTAATCTAAGCAAATACTCAACATTCAGGGCTCAAGGGGCATTTGCTTCTAAATAAAAATTAAAGAATACAAAGAAATATAAACATCACAAACTCAGGAAAGCTCATTCTTCACATAATGTAACATGGGAAGCTGCTTTGAAAGGCTGAACTAGTTTGGTATTTAAAATACTATACTCAATAGTAAGATGCATAGGCAAATTCAGGCTGAAAGGGCCAACATTTCATCTTTGAAATGCTCTTGACACTGTAAAATGACACTACATAAACTAGGAGATAAGAGATAAAATGCCATGGACTGACAACGACACTACTGCTTGTACTGCTAATATTTTTCTAAGTTCTGCACTCTGTCTACCTGGTCTTTCACCCAAGCTCTTCACCACGAAGGAACTTCTCCTGCTTCAAGCTCATTCTAAATCTGTACAGAGCTATCACTTGTCTTCTACTTGAACTTGCATTCATATTGTATAGTTTCACCATCAGCAACTATACAATATGAATGGTTTCAAATTAATTTTAATTTAATTTCCAGAACAAATTGACTGGATTTTGATCTAAATGCAATCATTTTTCCTGTTGTAATGAGATAAAATGTCACAGTTGAAAGCCCTTGTATTTATTGAATTCCTTACCAGAGCTGAGTCTTTTAGGAGAATAAAATTAAAAATGTGGCTTGTTAAATGGCATAAAAGGGGGGTTTGTGATATGATGTCTTTTCAAGTCAAATGCTAAGTGCAACATATTCCAATGTAGACAGTCATTAATATTGACACCTTTTACAGTCTCAAATGTCTTTCACTGTTAATATTGAGTCAGTACTGGAAATTCTGTATTTTGAGACAGGAATTATTAGAATAATTAGAATTAGAAATATTAGAATAACCTGTAGTTGGTTCATACTTAATATTTTGTGATACTTATGCCATATTGCAGTTACTCTCACCCTTTATGTAGCTCTCTGCAGTAACAATGACATACCCCATTGGAGCTGAATTCTGTTGATGGGAATACATGGGTTCTCTTAGCAAAACTGAGTTTCTGCATAAATTTTAAATCAGGAAAATTGGATATTAAAAAATATGCCTAGGTTGGTTCTGTCATTTTTAATGGCAGGTCTCCAAGCTGCGTCCAACATTTTTATGAGGACTAATATTTTTTTTTTTTTTCTGTGCATAACTAGGTAGTAAGTATCTATTTTAAACTGAAATTAGAATTGGAGGAATGGTAAAAGGGGACAGGAATGAAGGATTCCAGTTTAAAAAAAATGTCCATCTTGTCCATAAAGTGTCATGGGTTTCTGTGAAGTGAATTAATAATAAAGAATACCTACCACATTTAAGTACTTTATCCCCTAAAAATGCCATTTCAGGTTAGCTCTATTTTTATTATGAAAATAAAAATGTATGTTTCTTAAAAGAAGGGTGGAGTGTTTTGTTGGCTTTGTTTCTCCTTAGAATGGGCAGAAATATGAAGTAATTCACACTTTACTGTCCTCTGTGAAAACAGGTTTTTATGCATTGGTAATTGAAGTCCATCAGACAATTCCTATGAGCTGTTGCTTACCAAAGTGCTTACAGAGGCATTGCGGTGTATGCCACAAAATTATCTGGTTTTATTTTTGAAGAAAATTGTATCTCATATCTTACTTTTGTAATACATTTCAATATGATTTTATTAATTTTTATGTTAATTGTGTATTTAAAATTATTCCAGGAATTGATCTTTTGTTGGAAATCCATATGAAAAAAGAGAAATAACAAAAAGAATTACAGCCCATTAGAGATCTCCTTTCAGTTCTCAATTATATAAAAGTGAGGGGAATTCATGTGCAAATGAAATCTGCAGGCATTAAAAGGGGATGTAGTACAGTGTAATTGAAGAGAAACTGCATAGAGGCAGCAGACTAATGACAAAAAAAAAGTAATGAGATTCAGCTTCATAAATGTTAATCTAATACATTTAGGGGAAGACAGCTTGAAATGCAGCCCACTGGGCAGGTGGTATCTAGCAGTATTGTTGAAGGGCATTCTGCACCCTTGGTTTAAGGGCTTGTTTATTCAGGTGTATGTATTAGCTCTTCTCAAAAATACCTT